GGAGAGACACTGGTTTATCTCGAGAAAGGTCAGCTGGCTCCCATTTTCTTCCTTCCTTCCTTCCCTCCCTTTCCTTATTAAAACAGCTTTATTGAGATATAATTCACCTACCATACTATTCACCCATTTAAAGTGTACAATTCAGTTTTTTTTGGTACGTTCACAGAATTGTGCATCTATCACAACAGATTTTAGAACATGTTCATTGCTCTAAAAAGAAACCTGTACTCCTTGGCTGTCATCCCCTGATCCCATCCACTCCTCCCACCCCAGCCCCTGGCGATCACTAATCTACTTTCTTTCTAGGGATTTGCCTGTTCTGGACATTTCACATGAATAGAGTCATACGGTATGTGACCTTTTGTGTCTGTCTTCTTTCCCTTAGTGTAACGTTGTCAAGATTCGTGCATGGTGCAGCATGCTTCAGTACCTCACTCCTTTTTATGGCTGAATACTATTCCACGATGTGGATATATCACGTTTCGTTTATCCATTCATCTGTTGTTTCCACTTTTTGGCTGTTATGAATCATGCTGCCAAGAACATTCCTGTACAAGCTTTTGTGTGGATATGTTTTCATTTCTCTTGGGTTAGACCTCCATTTTTGTAAAAGAAAGAAAAAATCACATAACAGAAACTCAGATGTGACTGGGCCCTACTTGGCAGCTTCTGATAGTGCCCAGTGCTAACCTTGAGACAGGACTCAGAATTTTAAATCCTTTCCAAAGCAAATAGATGCCTGAAAGCAAGCCTTATTGCAGATGTCAGGAGGGTCAAGGAGAGTGACACATCACCTGGGGCTCAGCCTGTCATCCCTGTCCTTCCCCACCCTCAGACATGCATCCTCTCCTCAAGAGCACCCCCATTCCCCAGCCCAGGGGTTTCTGTTCCTTGTTCTTCCCTCCACAGCCCTCCTCCTCCTATCTCCCTCCACTCCCCTGCCCCATCCTTCCCTAATGCACAGCAAACCAGCCAGGTACAGTCTGCACCCTCTCACACACTCCCACCTTGTCAGCAAATCAGGAACCCTTCTTGGGGAACGGTGGTGGTTGTAAATGACAAATAATTTTCCTGCCACAAACAACTGTAGTTCCTGCTAGTCTGCACATCCTTGACTATCTCACATACAACAAACACACACATTTACAAGTGCCTATAAAAACATCTGAAGAACACTAAATTGTGTGTCAATAATTAGACTTCACTTTCTCTTTCATACAATCCTTCATTAATTATTAATTACAATGAGAAGTTGGCCTTTATCCGGAATGTTTAGTAACTTCCTTTTTTTCACTTGTTCTACTATGAGCGTTTTTCATTTCAGTGCGTATAATAGGCCTCTCCCGTTCCTTTCAATGGCTACACTGTTAATGTATAAACAGATCATAAGCTATTTTTTTTTTAAAGATTTTATTTATTTTATTTTTTCCCCCCAAAGCCCCAGTAGATAGTTGTATGTCATAGCTGCACATCCTTCTAGTTGCTGTACGTGGGACTCGGCCTCAGGATGGACGGAGAAGTGGTGCCTCAATGCGCACCCGGGATCCGAACCCCGGCCACCAGCATTGCAGCGCGCGCACTTAACCACCAAGCCACAGGGCCGGCCCAGATCATAAGCTATTGAAACAACCTCCTATTAATGGATGTTCAGATTATATTACTTTTATAACCAGCAAACACAATAGGGAGATTTTCACTTTGAAAAATCATAGTTAAAAAAAGAAAACACACTATCACAACAGAAAACCAGTATTCCAGTGGGTTTCTCATGGTGATTTCCAGTTCGTTCCTGGAACTTTCACGTAACCTGGAGGCGGAGTCCCCCTGGAGTGTGAGGGTCATAGGGCCTCTGGGCGTCTGTTATTTCCATAAAATGGAGCAAAGCATCTGTGTACTGCCTGATGATGTTCCCGAGTCTCTAACTGCCCCAAGGGATTCCAGGACTTGTCCCAGCCTGAGCACAGCTTGATTGCAACTGAGCACCAGCTATCCTGTGGATCTGATAACCCCACAGCTCTTCCGAGCACTGGATCCTGGAGCTTCTCGTCCATTCTTGCTCCAGCAAACGTGTAGCTCCTTTTACTCATTACAATATCTTGTATCATCAGGGCTGGTCCCTACCCCATGTCGCCTTTGGAATGGTACTCAGAGCTCATTTCCTTTAGGACACGGGGTATCCTACCCCCAGCCCCAAGTGTATTGCTTCCTCCTTTGAACTACTTTTGTACTTACTACACACTTCTACATATTGCTATATTATGCTGTATTCGATCTGCTTCCTTCCTTAGAGTGTGAAGCCTTTGATGGTAGAGCCCAACTCTGTATCCCTAGAGCAGATGCTCAGTGAATGTGTGTTAGAATAGCTCGAAGTGATATGTAAGAAATGGTACTGGGGCATTATTGCAGGACTGCGCTATTCTAAACTCAGGAAACGTGGGCCTGGGATATGGAGGTGTGGAAAACGGACTCTCAAGGTTGAAGAGGGTGACTAAGGGAGCATGAGAACCTTGCTAGTCGAAGGATGGGTCAGAGATCAGCAGCATCGACGTCACCTGGGCCCTTGTTAGAAATGCAGAAACTCAGGCCCCAGCTCAGACCCAGTAAACGCGAATCTGCATTTGAACAAGATCTGCTGGGAATCTGTCTGCATAGCAAGGTTCTGGAAGTGCTGCACTAGAAGAGGCATGGCCAGACCTTCAGACCAACTGATTTTATTCTCATCCTGAGGAGGTGATGTGACCCCTGAGGAAGGTGCAGTAGCACATTGCAGCGACCCTCACCTCAGCTATGGCAGTGGGTGCCTGGGAGGGAAATGTAGTGGCAAGAGAATAGGGTCTGTCCTCAGTTCTAGAGTTAACTGCCGCTTAGCCAGCTGAATGAGCCAGCCCATTGCTGGGCACACAGTAGGTCCTCAGTAAATATTTTTGGATGAATTACTAAAAACTGATTGAGTCTAGTTAACCTCTTAGTTTTCATTTCCTCATCTGTAAAATGGGGATCATGATAATCATGGTGCCCACCTCCGAGGGCTGTTAGGAGGTTAATGAGATAAGAGAGGTGAAAGTTACCGTAGAGGTGTTAGTTCCTATCATGGAGTAAAGCTTGGGTTCTGTGGAGTTTTTGGAAAGGAGATATGCTGTGATTCCCCCAAAGCTGCCTGTAGTTATAAGGTGCTATGTGGCAGGCAGGTAAATGCAAACTTGGTTTCAGAGAAGAGTACTGGAAAACTGTTAACCAAAGTGGCCTCTGGTGGGGAACTGTAGGAGATTTTCACTTTCTGAATTAACTCCTACATTGTTCAACTTTTAAAAAATAATGACATACACGATGCTTTTGAAATTGGACAAGAAACCTCACTAAAGGGAAAAAAAATAGGAGGGGAGGGAGAAAGACTGCATGGTTTTCAACTGCTTTGTCGTCTCAAATCTTCAAAGGCTCCACTTGGAATGAGAGCTATCCCAAGCCACCAGGGGAAAACAGCGCGGACAGGCTTCCCTGGCAATTACTCAAGCAGATTACCGAAGATGTCAGGTGATGAAACATTTAAGACTCAGAAGTTCGCCACCCTTGTTCTAAGCACTTAGAAAATTCACCTACTAGCCTGGGTCTGCTAATACTTTAAACAGACTTTTAAGTTGTTATTAAATAATTCAGTTTAAAAAAGAAAGATCCTTTTGAGAGTAATGGGGTTATTTAAGCATCATATTGGGTTTTTTTTCTTATTTTTATTCTTATGTATAATTCACATAACGTAAAATTGACTACTAACCTTTTTTTTTTATGGCGATGAAGATTGACTCTGAGCTAACATCTATTGCCAATCTTCCTCTTTTCACTTGAGGTAGATTGTCGCTGAGCTAACACCTGTGTCCATCTTCCTCTATTTTGTATGTGGGACACCGCCACAGCACGGCTTGACGAGTGGCATGTAGGTCCCCACCTGGGATCCAAACCTGCGAACCCTGGGCTGCCGAAGAAGAGCACGTGAACTTCACTACACCACGGGGCCAGCCCCCACCACTCACCAGTTTAAAGTGTACAACTCAGTGGCATTTAGCACATCCACAATTTCGTGCAACTATTGCCTCAATCTAGTTCCAAGCCCTTCTCATCACACCACAAAGAAATTCTGCGCCCATTAAGCAGTCGCTCCCCGTACCCCTCTCCCCGGCCCCTGGCAGCCACCAGCGTGCTGCTTGTCTCTCTGGATTTGCCTGCTCTGGACATTTCATATGAACGGAATCGCACCCTATGCGGCTTTTGTGTCTGGCTTCTTTCACTGAGCATGTGTTCAAGGTTCATCCATTTTGTAGCATGAATCAGTACTCCACCCCTTTCTATGGTTGAATAATAGCCATTATATGCATAGACCATATTTTGTTTATCCATTCACCTGTTGATGGCCATGTGGGTTGCTTCCACCTTTTGGCTATTGTGAATAGTGCTGCTGTGAACATTTGTATACAAGTATTTGTTTGAATACCTATTTCAGTTCTTTGGGCTATATATCTAGGATGGAATTGCTGGATCATATGGTAATTCTACATTTAACTTTTTTTTGGTGAGGAAGATCAGCCCTGAGCTAACATCCATGCTAATCCTCCTCTTTTTGCTGAGGAAGACCAGCTCTGAGCTAACATCTATTGCCAATCCTCCTTTTTTTTTCCCCCAAAGCCCCAGTAGATAGTTGTATGTCATAGCTGCACATCCTTTTTTTTTTTTTTTTTAAGATTTTATTTATTTTTTCCCCCCAAAGCCCCAGTAGATAGTTGTATGTCATAGCTGCACATCCTTCCAGTTGCTGTATGTGGGACTCGGCCTCAGGATGGACGGAGAAGCGGTGCCTCGATGCGCACCCGGGATCCAAACCCGGGCCACCAGCATTGCAGCGCGCGCACTTAACCACCAAGCCACAGGGCCGGCCCAGGATCACTGTTCTTATTTGTATTAGGTAGCACAGGCAAAGCTGCTATAACAAAAAGACTCAAATATGTAAAAGCTCAATAAAATACAGGTTTATTTTTTTTTCTCATGTAACAGTCCTGGGTGTAAGATTAGGTCGATGGGGCAGAGTTCTCCTCCACCCAGTAATGTTCCATCTTGAGGCCTTGCATTCACCAGAAGCTGGTCATCATCTTCCAACTGGCAGAGTAAATAAGACTACCTGCTGACGGATTTTCTGGGCCAAGCCAGGAAACTATGCACATCTCTTCTGCACACTTTCCACTGGGGAGAGCATAGGCACATAGCCACACCTACTTTAAGGGGGCTGAGGAATGTACAGTAGGCATATAGCCAACAAAGAGGACAACTATGTCTGCACCACAATATATATCCAATTACTTATTTGACTTATCTTTTGGTCTATGGCACAAGAACCTGAAATTAACCTGGATGGAAAAAGAACTCTGGATTCCCCCCCAACCCTCATCCTCATCAATGTTTGATTCACTGAATGGCACCATCACTCATCCAATTGCTTAAATTAAGCCAGAAACCTTGAAGTTATTCTCAATTCATTTCTTATTCTCACCTTCCTTCAGGAAGTTGAATCCTTCAGGAAGTCCTGTCAACTCTACCTCCAAAACATATCATAAATCCATCTACTCTCTCTCTACTGCCACCTCCTCAGTTCAAACATCATCATAATTTCTCATCTGGATTATTCCAATAGCCTCTTAATAGCTCTCCATGTCTCCACTCTTGCTTGCCCATATTTCATTCTCTATACAGCAGTGATCTTTTAAAATATAACTTTGATCACATCACTCTTCAGTGATGGCTTAGAATAAAATCCAAAGTCCTTACCATGACCCCTAAGGGTGTATATGATACAGCCCTGCCCACCTCTCCAACCTCCTCCTTTATCACTCTCTCTTCCTTCTCACTCTGCTCCAGCTACAATGACCTTCTTGCTGCTCCTGGAACACATTCAGCTTATTTCCACCTTAAGACTTTTGCACTTGCTGTTCCCAATGCCCAGAAATCTCTTCAAATTTCCAATAGACCGCTCCTTCTCATTCCTCAGAGGTCTCAGCTTCAATGTTACCTCCTGGGAGACCTTCCCTGATCATCTAACGGAAAAAAGTCCCCTCATCCAGTTACTCTCTTACCTCAGCATCTTGTTTCACTTTCTTCTCAGCATCTACAAACTCTGTTTTTCCCTGTTTATTTTCTGCTTCCCTTTCCTGAAAGTAAGATCCATGAGCAAGTACCGTGTCTAGTTCCTAGTGTTTCCCCAGTGTCGAGAAGGCCTGGCACATACTGGTGACCAGTAAACAAGTGAATGAATGAAGAACCACCAAGAGGTGATCAGCCCAAAGCCCCCGCAAGGCAGGCTGTTGGTGCAGAGTAAGGAGCACAACCCTGGGTTCCGATTCCGCCTTGACCACGTCTCAGCTGCGCGCAAGCGAGCTGGGCTCTCTGAGCCTCAGTTACCTAATCTGTAACGGGGGATAAGAACATACTCACCTCACAGAGCCAAATGCCTACTTTGTAAAGAAAGGAACTGATGGAGGATAAGAGCTTCACATAAAATTAACGCTCCGTATTCATAACCATTAGCGCTATTATTATACATAATTCTGTTCTCTTACTGCAGGACCCTCCCGGGGCCTGTTTCCTTTTCTCTATCACGCGCTGACAGCTCCGGCTCCCTCCCGCAGAGTGTTTCCGGCGGCATCAATCTCCTCTTCCGCTCGGGGAGGAAAAAAAGGAGCGCGAGCACTTCCGCAACCAGTTCCTGGAGCCCGGCGGAGATCTCTAAAGGCCCCGCCCCGCCGGGCCCGCCCCGTGACGTCATCGACGCGGCGCCAGCGCTGCGTAGGGCCCCGCGGGCCTGTCCTGGGCGTGGCGCACCTTGGGGAGGCCCTGGCGGGCGCCTGCAAATCAACTGCGTGGTTCGGGGGCGGCCCGGAAACCCCAGCGGACGGCGGCGAGGGTCGCGTGGAGCCGTGGGGGCACGGAGTCGGGCGGCAGGAGGGGCGGCCCCGAGCTCAGGCGGGGCACAGCGCCGGCGGGCGGGCGGCTGGCGGGGCTGCCCGGCGCGGGTGTCCCGGCGATGTGTGGCGCTGAAGCGGCAGCGGGTTCGGCCTCGGCTTCGCGGCGGTGCCGGCGGCGGAGGCGGAGGCGCAGGCTCCTCCTCAGGACCTGGCGAGCCAGGGCCTAATAGGCGGCCCCGCGAGGCCCCTGCAGAGCGCCCCGGACCGGGGCCCTCCCCGCCTCGCCCTGCCCCGGGAGCCTGCCTCCCCGGCCGGGGATGAGGCCGGGAGGCGGCGGCGCGGGGCCCAGCACAAAGGCTCTCCGGGGGCCGCCGCCGCCGCCAGCCTAAAGCCACCCGCCGAAGCCGAGCCGGCTCCGGGGCCCTCATCCCCGCCGGTCCCCGGGGGCGGCCACTGCCCGTCTTCCCGAGGCCCAAGGGCCCGAGCGCCGAGCCCCTTGCTCCCTCGGCCGCGGTGGGACCGGGCAGCTGCGCAGCCTCCACCGCTCCCGGCCGTAGGGGCCTCTCGGAGCATGTCGGAGGAGAGCGACATGGAGAAAGCCATCAAGGTAAGGGGGAGATGCCCCCTTCCTCCCCGCTTTGTCCCTGTGGCATTCCTCTCGGCTCCAGCCTCAGAAAGCGCAGAGAACTTCAGTGAGATTCCAGCGACTCCCGGGTTTCGGTCTTCCCCGGATTCCGCGGACTGCGTTGTACAGCCCTGGGGCGAAGGGTCTGTGTAGGGAGGGATGTTCGAATCCCTCGTACTTCCCTGGTTAAAGCGGGAGGTGCTTGCGCTTAGCTAGAAGGGAAGGTGAGTGGCGTTGAGGTACTTGATGTGAGTGGGACGGAGAGGGCCCTAGTACTCGACTTTGGATCACTGCCCAAGTGCCGCCAGCATTTGCTTCCGGATGATCTGCTGCAACAGCACTGGGAGAGTTGGACTTTACCCGTCGCTCCCCATTTGTTTGAAACTAGCCTGGAAATCTGCAGTTTCAGGAGGTGGTTCGCCTTCTTACAAAACCTGTCCTTTGGCAAATAGGTGGTTCTCACTTTTCCTGTGTTCCCCTTCCCTTTTCCTCTTTCCGCTTCCCTCTCCCAGGGAGCATTGAGTTTAGGAACAGCTAACTGTGTCCTGTGATTTACTGCTCTGTTAACCAAAAGAAAAGCAAATATGTGTGTTCCAAAATTATCTAAATAAAATGACAAGTTTCTAAAACCTGTTTTTCACTCCTTTTTTAACAGGCATACTTTGAGGCGCCAAGGTACTAAATCAAAGTTATCTAGCTGTAGCTAGGAAATCAGAATCTTATATAAATTGAACACTGAAGTTTAAAGTTTGATATGCATTATTTAGTTATTTTGCAGTGTTAGTCAACTCAGTGCATTTCAGAATTTCATTTTCTCTTGAGGGACAGGCATCCATTGGCAACTTGGGGTTATTTTCCTCTTCGAGACACAATCACTATTACCAGTAACTAATTAAGAACTTACACTTCTAACAATTTCTTGGGTAGTAAAGTTTATAGAAATCATTCCAAAGAAACTTCACGTTTTAAAGGAGGCATCAAAATATACACATTAAGGAAGATCAAATTTTATTTTATTTTTCTTTTTGTGAGGAAGATCAGCCCTGAGCTAACATCTGTGCCAATCCTCTTTTTGCTGAGGAAGACTGGCCTGGGGCTAACATCCGTACCTATCTTCCTCCACTTTACGTGGGATGCTGCCACAGCATGGCCTGACAAGCGGTGCGGAAGTGCGCACCCGGGATCCGAACCCCCGTCCGCCAGCAGGGGAGCTTGCACACTTAACCATTATGCCACGGGACCAGCCCAAGGAAGATAAAATTTTAAATAATAGAAATAAAGATTCTAAAAGACTGCTTTGATATATCCATTTTTTTCTTTTGGTTTGGATTTTATTGGTACAGGGTCATGAATTGTTGCCTAAAGTTGTATGACTGGGTTGTGAAGTAAAGCATATGGGCAGATTTTTAAATTCAAATATTGTCTGCTTTGTGCCAAGTGCTGTCTTAGGCACTACTGGTGCAAAGCCAGACTCCTAGATGTCCCTGCTCTCGTGGAGGTTATATTCTAGGTGGTGGAATTAGGTAATAAACATTGTCACGTGGTTATCATTAAGGAGTATAAAAAGGGTGGGGAATACTATTTTAGGAAGGATAGTCAGGGAGGGCTTCTCTGAGGAGGTGACATGTAGAGCTCTGAAGGGAATGAGTGAGCAAACTTCCACTGTCTCAGGGAAGAATATTACACGCAGTGGGAACAGCAAGTACAGAGGCCCTGAGGTAGGTGCAGGTCTTGTGTGATCCAGGAATAGCAAGGTGGCTGGAATGCAGTGGGTCAGTGTAGAATATATTAGGTAATGGGAAGCCAGAGCACATAGGGCCTTGTAGACCATTCTAAGAACTTTGGCCTTGACCCCGAGTAGAAGGGGAACTTGGGGAGAGTTTTGAGCAGAAGAAGGACATAGTTCTAGTGGGCAAATATATAAATGGGGAGGCAATGTTAATTAGCAGTTACAATAGTTTCTCTAGGTAGACTAATGGGTTGAAATCTCAGCCTTGCCATTCATTAGCTGTGTCCTTAAGTCATTTCACTTCTCTGTCCCTTAATCTCCTCATCCATAGAAGGGGGATAAAAACACTCCCCAGCTCATAGGATGTTTTTGAGGATTTAGTAAGCAAATATATCTAAATGTGCTTACAACAATGCCTAACTTTTAGTAAGAGCTCGTTGAATATTAGCATATAGCAAATTAAGAGGGGTTTAGAAAGAGTGGTAGTTTTCTTCACTTGTTCACTCTCCTCCAACCTCATTTTCATAAATTTTTTTTTTTTTTTTAGCTTTTCACATGCTTGATAGGTCATTAGTGACTCTTCCTACTAATTTGGGTGTGTCCAGCCAATACAAATTAGTGAAGTTGAAAATATCTGATTTGACAACCAGTACTGACTAGGATATTCCCTTGGAAGCAAGACTCATCACATCAAATAAAACTTTAGGTCTGTGGTATTGTGTTGTATTAATTGTTTTGCTTTTTGGAGGCCGTCCCTCAAATGTGAGAACTGAGATCTCTAGAGTTCAGCTGGAAAAGCTGTTTTCCTGGGCTCTAATCACAGCACTTAAACTTCTGCTGCCTGACTACCTGAGTGAGAGTGGGCTGATTGGACTTGAAGATCTCATCCTATTACTCTTAACAAGATATTAGGATAAGGTCAAATGGCTACAGCCGTAGGCTCTGTCTTCTCATTTCTGTCTCTGCTCCCATAGCCTCATGACTTCACTATTCCCAAGACACTTAGCTAAACCTGGAGAATGAGTATTTGAGATTAGGGATTGTCTTACATATTTGTTTTCTATTGTATATGGTAGAGTTCTTAATATTTGATGAACTTAGTGAAAATTCATTTCCTTGGTTTTAAAAACATTTTTTTAAATTGCAGTATAATTTACATACCATAAAATTCACCCACTGGAAGTGTATAATTTTTAGTAAATTTATAGAGTTGTGCAAGTATCATCACAATCCAGTTTTAGAATATTTCCATCTCGCCTAGAAAGTTTCTTCTGCCTCTGTAGTCAGCTTCTATTCCCATTCCCCCCTCCCCCAGAAAACCATTGATCTGCTTTCTGTCACTATAGTTTTGCCTTCTCTAGAAATTCCAAATTAAAGAAATTGTATAATATGTAGCCTTATGTGTTTGGCTTCTTTTACATATCATAATACTTTTGAGGTTCATCCATGTTGGTGCATGCATTAGTAGTTCATTCCTTTTTATTACTGAGTAATCTTTTTATTTTTTATCCATCCCCAGTCAGTGGACATTTAGAATGTTTCCAGTTTTTAGCTATTATGAATAAAATGATAAATAAAACTTGTCTGTACAAGTTTTTGTGTGAATATTTTAATTTCTTCTGGGCAAATACCTAGGTGTGGAATTACTGGGTAGTATGCTCAGTTAAGTTTATGTTTAAGAAACATTTCAGTTTTTAAGAAACTGAAACTTTTCCAAAGTGGCTTTATCATTATTAGTTCCCACCAGTAGTGTTTGAGGGTTCTAGTTTTTTTTACCCTCTTCACAAATATTTGGTATTGTTAGGCTTTCTATCTTAGCCATTTTAGTGGTATCTCATTGTGGTTTTAATTTTCATTTCCCTACTGACTGATGCTGTTGAGCATCTTTTCATGTGCTTATTTGCCATTCGTGTATTTTTTTCTGGTGAACTGTATAAAAATCTTTTGCCCATTTTTAAATTGAGTTTCTCTTATTGAGTTGTAAGAGTTCTTTATAAACTCTGAATAAAAGTCATTTATCAGATATATGATCTACAAATATTTTTTCCCAATCTGTGTTTTATCTTTTTTAATGGTCTCTTTTGAAAAGCAAAACATTTAAACTTTGATGAAGTCCAGTTTATCAAAGTTTTTTCTTTTATGGATTGTGCTTTTGGTGTCATAGCTAAGAAATATTTGTCTAGTCTAAGGTCACAAGATTTTTCTCCTATGTTTTCTTCTAGATAGTTTTAGTACTTTCATTTAGGTCTAATATCCATTTGAATTAACTTTTGTGTTTGGTATGATATAAAGGTCTAAAGTTTTGTTTGTTTGTCTTTAATATGGATATCCAGTTGTTTCAGGACCATTTGTTCCAAACACTGTCTTTTGCCCATTGAATTATTTTGGTACCTTTGTTGATAATCAATTGATCATAAGTGTATGAGTTTATTTCTGGATTCTCTGTTATGTTCCATTCATCATTATGACTATCCTTATGCCAGTACCACACTTGATTTGACTACTGAAGCTTTTTAAAAATTTTTTGTTTATTGCAGTAACATTGGTTTATAACATTGTATAAATTTCAGGTGTGCATCATTATACTTATGTTTCTGTATAGATTACATCATGTTCACCACCCAAATACTAATTAGAACCCATCACCACACACTTGTGCCGAATTATCCCTTTCGCCCTCCTCCCTCCCTCCTTCCCCTCTGGTAACCACCAATCCAATCTCTGTCTCTATGTGTTTGTTTGTTGTTGTTATTATCTACTACTTAATGAAGCTTTATAGTGAGTTTTCAAATTGGGTAGTGTGAGAACCAACTTGGTTCTTTTTCAAAATTAAGTTGGGGAAGTTCTTTGTATTCCCAAATAAATTTTAGAATCAGCTTATCAATTTCTACAAAAAAGTGTGCTGGGATTTTGACAGATTCCACTGAATCTATAGATCAATTTGGGAACAGTTGCCATCTTAACAATATGATCTTCTAATCCATGAACATAGTATAGCTCTCTATTTCTTTAGGGCTTCTCTCATTTCTCTTAGCAATGTGTTGTAGTTTTTGGTGTACAGATCTTGCACTTTTTTTGATAAATTTATTTCTAAATATTTTATTTTTTTGATGCTATTAAGAATGGAATTTTTGTTTTCTTAATTTCATTTTTTTGGATTGTTACTAGTGTATAGAAATATAGTTGATTTCTGTATTCTGATTTTGTGTTTTGCATCTTTACTACATTTGCTTATGCTAGATTTTTTTTGGTA